GACACCGCAAGGCCACCCGCAAGTGCCACTTCCCTCTGGAGACCCAGCTGGTCAACTGCGACCCGGCCATGGCAAGAGAAGTAGCTGCAAGTGAAGCAGCTGGAGGCTGTTGATGGGATTCTCCTTCTGCCCCACGGGGCCCAACCACTTCTTCTCTGAAACCCCCAGACTGGCCAACACAGCCAAGTTAGGCCCAGAGCAGCTGTGTGTGAGCTGAGCAGTTCTTCACCTGCCCTGTAAGCATAAAACTTTGCTCTTTTGGGGTTTTTTTTCAGCTGTATTAGTCAATGACAAATATATTTCCGTACAAACTTTGCCCTTGATTCAGGCTGCAATAGCTACAGAAGCACCATGACTGCTAACCCAGCCATTAAACACAGAGCAACAAGTTCTGATTTAGCTCACCAAAACATTATTTGATTTTTCTGCATCATTTGATTTGGTCCAGACAAAAAAAAACCCCAACAAAACACAAAACAACAACAAAAAAAAACCCCAAACAAATCCCTCTGCTGCTCATTTCCCCGACAGAAGGGATTTGCTGGATTAGAGAACTCCTGATATAGCTCTGATTTCAGCTTCTTTCCCAGTTAAGTGTCATCCATTTCCTTATCAAGATGGTTTTGTGGCTGAAGGTCTCAGAGATGAAACCCAGGAGGCTGTGGCAGGAGCAGAGCCTGGAGCAGAGCTCCCTGTTTGGAAGGTGTTGCAGCACAGGGGGAACTAGCCCCTGTTTGAGCACTTTTGGAGAAAAATGATCTACCAAAGGGCATATTCAAACAAAGGTGTGGTTGTAATTAGAGTCAGAGCAGCTAAATCTGACATCCAGCAGGTTTATGTCCACTGTGCCTTTAAGAAGAGCACTCAGGAACTGGGTTCCATGTCTTTATTGTTTATTTAGCATCGATTTAATCCATAGCCTTTTTCTTTTTTTCTTTTTTTTCTTTTTTTTTTTTCAGTTCTTGACTTTCTCTGCATGGTTTTATGCAATTGCATAAGACATGAAGGGCTTGCAAGTGTTCTCACAGCTGAGACACCTTTGTACTGTTGGAGCCCTTACATAATTTTGACAGGACAGGGTATGTACATGTCTGCAGTTTGGAGCCTGGCTCAGGAAAGATCCTCCCAAAGAAAAAAAGACAGACAGACAAGCCCATCTATGATTCTATGATTTGGTTCCCAGGGAAAAGTGAAAACTGGAGAGTGAAGGTCTGTGTGTTCCTGGGGGATGTTTGCAGAGCTGACCCAGCTCTGGCACTGCAGTGAGCCAACGCCTGTTGGTGTAACTGGGATTGGCAGTGCTCAAGAAGAACCAGGGCTGTGTCTGCAGTGCAGGGCTGTGCAGAGGGACCCCCCTGTGCCATCAGCCACCCCTCAGCCAGGGCCAGGTCCCCACGGGGGGCTCTGAGCCCAGCTGCAGTTGGTTAGTGCCACAGGGATTGGAGCTGTACAACCTTGACTCAGTTTTCAGGTCAAATCCCCATACATTGGGTGCTACGTCTTCCATCCAAACACCCCAACTGCCAGAGGCTGTGGGGATGTGATCCTGTTCTTACAGCACCCACACAAGAGATGCTTTAGGGTTCATTCCCAAAGTTTCCACTGATTTCCTGCAGGACCACAGGCAAGGCATCTCCTCCTGTTGGCATTAGCAGCTCCTGAGGGCAAGGACATACAATTTCTGGGCAGTGCAGAGCACAGCCAGGCCCTGCACTGGGTAAACCTGCTCAGTGCAACCACGGGAGACACAAGGGAGTGTTGCAGCTCTGCCCAGCTGGTCCTGCAGCCAACCACTATTGTCCTGTCACCAAGTTGCTCAAATCTTCCTTTTTCAGTGAAAATAACACACAAGCTTTGCTTAAGTTAGTGAGCTTTACTTAGGAAATAAATAAAATTATAAGAAAATATGAATGATTGTAATAAATACAGCACTTGTCAAAAACATACAGCCATGAAATGCATAATATTGTTAAGCATATTACTCCAGTGTGGTTGCAGGGTCTGGCAGATCACTGGGAAAATAACTTTCTGCCCCTGAAAGAGTATTTTAAACATGGAAGAGAGAAAAAGAGAGACAGAGTGTGTGTGCGTGTGATGGCAAAGAATACCCAGTTCCTTTGCAAACAAACTTTGACAGATGTTTGTTCATGGGATGGGTTTTACTGAAATCTGATACTTCAGCACAACGAATTATTTGGAGGGTGCTGTTCAGATAGAAAGCAGGGATTTGGAAGGTCTCTTGCTCTGCCAGCAGCCAGGCTGGGGGCACAGCACGTGGCACCTCAGCTCAGGAGGCTGCAGTTTCCATGCTTTGCAAAATCTAAGTGGACAAACAGCTTCTCCTTTCCCTCCTCAGGCAGCAGGCAGGGCCTTGTCTGTCAGCTTTGTGTTTCCAACCGAGACACGGGAAATCGTGCAGAGGAAAAATGAAGAAAGGAATTGCATAAAGGCCTTTGAGTTATAAATACACACACCTCAGCTCTGCCTGCACCATCAGGCCCTGGGTTGGTGCCCCATGTGCTCCCAGTCCCAGAGCAGCTCCCAGCCCTGGACAAGCTGGAACTGCAGGAGTTTGCACCAGAACTTAACTCAGCTCCCCTGGTGCTGTCAGTTGTTAAGTGGGGAATGAGGAGGGTGACACTTGCTGCTTTTTAGGGATAAGGTAAGTATTTGGACTACCATTCATCCAGACATTTCCAGGATTGACTTTCTTATTAAAAATATATATTAATCCCTTGCATCCATTTAAAAAATACAAGACAGAGCTATGTCTGGTAGTTACTTATAGTTTAGCAGGTGAAAAGAGTTCACCCAGGGCAGCACTTGCATGCTTAGCAGCAGCCAGTTCCAGCAGGCAGGTCTTCACCTGAAGTGAATTGATTCAGGGGAGCTCAGGCTCTCTGGGATTTGTGTGCACATGAAAACTAACACAAGGTCTCAAGCTGATGGGTTTTCCTCTTGTAGACTAATAAAATTCAGTGAGTGATTTACCAGACACCAATATTTCAGGATTTACTAATTTGTTTCTATAATGCATTTAAGGAAAAGTGTGTCTTCCTTCACATAGGCATATTTAGGTGACTGCAGTTTGGATAAAGGGAGGAACATGGGGCAGCCACTTGCAACATTCATATCATTCACTGGTCTCTGGAATGAAGCTGAAGTCAAGTCTGGGCGAAACGCATCAATTATATGTTCCCTGTTATTTTGGTCAAGCAACATAAATGTCACCTGGAAAACAGAAAGTGGCAATGATGAGTTACTGAACTGGTATTATCCATGTGTGTAGCAAGAGCCAGGCAAAAATGTGTCTCTGGCTTTAACCCAGGTGGCCACAGGTCGGTCTATACCAAACACCACTGTTCTGGTGTCTGAAATATCCTACAGGGCAGAGCATGGAATCTGGGTAGGAGCAGCTTTCCCTGTGTGTAAAGTGCTCCATTCAGAGACAAATTATAACCCAAGATTGAAGTATGGCTAATAGCCATTAGAGAGTAAAATGGGAAAATATTTCAACTTCCACCAAATGCAAGAGAAAAAGTCCCCTTATGTCTGCTGGGGGAAGCAGTGGGTTCACACTGGGATCAGCTGTGGGTTCACACTGGGATCAGCTGTGGGTTCACACTGGGATCAGCTGTGGGTTCACACTGGGATCAGCTGTGGGAAGGCTGCCCTTCTTACCTTGTGTCTGAAAGGCCATGGGAGAAGAGCATCATAGTCTCCCTTCATGACAACAAAGAACAGGGACATGTGGGTTCCTTTTCCTGTCCCATCCCCATTCAGATAGACCCTCAGACAGACCTTGTAGCCATACTTTGCTGTGTAGAAGGCTGAAAATCAGAATTCTTCATTAGTAAAGATTTATTTGAAAAAAGGACTTAATGAGTGCTCTGATATATGGGAAAATACCATGTATGATGTGTTTTGCTACAGCAGAGATGAGAACAGACCAATCAGTACACCCTGGAGATGATAAGCAATGAAAATCCAGTGGTTGGAATCCTTTAGTGCCTCACACCTCAGTGAAAGTGACCTCCTATAAGCCACACAGGTGTGTTTTATCTCTTCAAATAACTCCTCACTTGGGAGGGAACTGCCACATTAACCAGTTGGTACCATCAGCTCCAAGCTGTGGGTCAGAGGAGATGGAGCTGTTTGAATGGAGCTCCTGCTCAGGTGGGCAGGAAGAAGCACCACCCAGAGAAACCAGCAGGTTCCCTAAAGCACTGGGATCGCTAACACACGGGTAGGTCCTGTGTCTTACCTGGTGAATACAAACTGACTGTTCTTCCAGTCACTGAGTCTTGTAGCTTCCTGCCAACATCTGTTATCTTCCACAGAAAGACCCCATCATAGGAAGCCTGCTCAGAGAACAGGAGGCTCTTGTGCAGGCTGCTCAGGCAGGCGTCCTTCTGCGTCAGGCACCGGTGCAGCTCTGCGATCTAGGGAAAACAAACCAGTTCTCAATCAACTCTCCTCTCCAGGCTGTTGTGCTGCAGAAGTAGGAGAATAGCTCTGGAGTCCTCATGTTCAGGGGGGTCTCCTTTGTTTTAAGTGGCAGATATGTGTCAACGCATAAGGCAAACAACTGGAGAGATGGTTGTTCTATTTTCCAGGTCTAATGCTGCCTTAAGAGGATCAGTCCATTAAAAACCACCCTGCTTGCTCACAGTCTGGTCCTGGCAAGTTCTGAACATTCACAATTCTCAGGAATATCTAGGTACCTAAAGACAGATTCAGATAACAGATTTTCAAGGTCCCCACTTGAAAATTTATCCAGAACAACAAAAGGATCCTGTAGATGTGTCCACAACTTAGCACTTCACAGCTCACATTCCTGTGCCCAGCCCTATTCTGATGTCTGCCCCCCTTCTCACTGATACATGTAAATACTTGTTATCCACAGAACAAGCACACAGGGAACACTTATCATAACTATTTACCTTCAGTTCAAGGCTTCGTATTATATTCTGATCAAGCTCACTCTGTCTCCGAAAGGCTGTGATCTCCAGGTTGGAGGTTTCTACCTCTTTATTGAGCACAGCCACAATGTTCTCAAACACGTGCAGCTTGTTTTCTAGCTCAGAAATCACTTTCTCCCTCACAAGTTGCTCCAGAACAGCTTCATCCTCAGAAACAGAAGATCCAGGCAAACAGTCTACTTCCAGAACCCCATTGATGTGCAGTCCCCCTGGAACCTGCAGCTCAGAGATGCTTTTTCCTGCACCATTCACACCCAGCCTGGGGGGTGGGATCAAGCCGTTGGCAGCTTTGGCTGCAGTGCACAAGCTTTCCTTCAGTTGCTTTATGTGCTGCAGCAGAAGCAGCATGTGGGCCCCAACTGCAGTTCTGTCATGCTCCTTCATCTTCTCTTTGCTTCCCTGTAAGAACATGACAATGTCAATACACTCTCTGTACAACTACCATGACTGGCCAGGGGCCAAATTAAGTGATGTTCCCCCTTCAACTCTTTGGGAGAGACAAGAGGTGGAAGAACTGCAAGACTCAGCTCCAGCTACACAGCAGCTGCCTCTCAGAGACACAGGGAGAGGAAAACCAGCCAGCCCCCCAGGGATCAGTTTGGGTTGTGTGTTCATGTGAGGACACGTGCTACACAAACAAGAAAACAATTGTCTACAATTGCTTTATTAAACAGGATGCCAGGCAGAGTCCCAGCAAGGGGCTCAAGTAAACCAAAATTTAGTACATGCACCATGCACAAAAGATGAGACAAGGCAACAGATGCCAACTAAAATAGGAAGACTCTTTGCTGCTGTAAGGGGAGTTACCCTGAAGGGAATATCCAGAGCAGAGTAGAACAGCATGTCTGACAGACCAGCAGAATTGTAATAAACCTGTTTTTACCTGAAGTGAATGCACAGTGCAGGACACAGAGCATGAGAGGCTGAAGGGCACCTGATACACTGTGTGTCACACAGTTCCAGCATCCCCTCTGCTGCTCTACTGAGAGTGGGCAGACTTCCCCTCTTTTCTTAAAGATACATTTAAATCAAGGCCTAGTAGCTGGAGCACAGAGGCTGGCTAGACCAAAGGCACAGTGCTCAGTTGTTCACCATCTGAGACCTCCCTGAAGGCAGCCCCTTTCACTCACCCTAAATGAACAGCCCACTTCAGAAAAACGACATCCATCCTTGTTGACTGAGGGTGCAGAGCAGCTCTGCTGAAAATAAAAATAAAATAATAAAATACCAATTCAAGGGATTATTTCATTTACCTACAAACAACTAGGCCACAATCCCAGCAGCTATAAATCAGGATAATTCAAGTCAAGGGATTACTGCAACCTATAGTGTCCAACCAGCTTTGGAAATTCATTGGTAAATCAATCAAGAGTGGGGCTGATTGAAAGTTAAGTTTCTATCTAAGGCCTCATAATGATATAATTTAACAAACCATAGTGATCCCCTAGTAATAACTAGAAACAAACATTTCTCCATTTTTCTAAGATTATTTTAGAAGATAATTTAATGAAGTGAATTGTGGGAGGAGGGAAGAGAAGGTAGGCAGGGATATAAAAAGCACCCAGATACAGCTGCTATATCCAAGGATGTTCTCAGATGTTAATTTAATGTAAGTGAAAAAGTGATACTTTCATGAATTGAAATAATTTTGCATTCACTCCTCTTTTACCCACCTTTTCCTTTGATGGTGCTTCTGTTTGTACACATTTTTGTTCCTGACACAAACTGCCTTCACATGAATGGTCCTGTCATTAAAACAAGAAGGAAAGAATCCAGTAAATTATCACTATGTTTGAGCATATTTCTTTAGGAGTCTTTGAAGCAAAGGTTGTGTTTGGGAATGCTCTTCCCATTTTACAGAAACACAGGGACTTGGAAGGCTTTACTACAGAAAATTTTGTGTTATGGAAGAAAAAGCTTAAACTAAGTTTCTTGGTTTCTTCTTCAAAGGTGTGGATTTAAGGGACAGTAAAGGAAGGAAGGGTAACTTCCCCAGGAGCACCATGAGCTCCACAACACATGGTGTAAAATCCTGTACCCCTATCCAGGGATTGCCTTCTCTGGGCTTCACCATGAAACAGGAGGCAGAGTCCTCTGGCTTCTTAGAGGAAATACTGTTCAGAAATTTGGGACTAAAGCCCATCTGCTAAAAGCAGGCACTGCTGTCCCCTGGGCAGTGACCTGCAGACTCAGAGGTTTCCCAGGTTCTAAGCTGATCACCCTTCATCCCAGCCTGGCAGGTGTGCTCAGTGAGAGCCCTCCAGATACCTGTTTAGTGACAGTACCAAGTGTGACCTTTGGCCACTTACAGGGCCCAGAGCTTGGGGAAACTACTCACAGATGCTTTGCAAGGTCACCCTGGGAAATCTGATACAAGATTGTTGGTGTACAAGTCCTTCCCAGTTCAAACCACAGTGATGTACATCCACACACACATGCAGTGACATGTAGGTGGGTTACAGAACAGGAAGCAAAGACACAGGAAAACCAAACATAAACTTTTCTTACATTGGCTTCATAGAGTTTGCTTCATGTACAGACCCTTCTTGCATCCTGCTTATTAACATTTTGAAGGCTGGAATCCAAATTTTCCATCATGATGTGCTAATGCAAAATGCATTAGCTCTAACTGGAGACTTCTGGCTCCAGGAAGGGCAAACTAATCCTCCTGCCACTGCTTCATACACTGCAACATGTGTATTTAACACAGCAACTGTCAGCTTTCCATTCATGCAGTTCAGGGGGACTGTCTTTAATCTTTATAAACACCTCTGCATGCCAGTACATTTCCTATAGCAGTCGAGAATTTTTTTTTATAAAGCCATTTCAACAATGTTCAAGTCTACTCTGCAGAGTTCTGAGGTTTCTCTTTTCATCCACAGAAGCACAGCCTCAGGTTTTTTCTCACTCTCTAACTTACTTATTAATACTCTCTATCTGAGCCATTGCACAAAGCATGCCTTTATTTTCTTACTTTCTGCTCTTTGACTCCATCATCTCACTGATTTCTTGAGGGGGAGAGAGGTTGGTTAGAAGTTTCTTTACAATATGGAAAAGCAAAAATCTCAAGACCAATAACTGATTGGCTAAGATGGAGAGAATGAGAGTAGTGCCCAAAATTTGCTCCCAGGGGATTGTGGATACATGGAGCACACACAAATAATCAAAACTCACATGCCACATAACTGCAAATTTAATAAAGTAGATCATGTATCCAGCAAAATAACAATTTTACAAATACTAACTAAGGCAGGCAGAGAAAAACCAACATCTCAAGGCCAATCCCCTGCTTGGTTGCCAAGGTTTCCCAACCAAAAAGTTAATTAGATGAGAGCAAACCGGAATGAGTGGGAGGAAACCAGTTCTTCACTGCAGGAAAAAGGAGCCTGGCGGGGTGGATCTGCCTGGCAGACCTCTGAGCAGAGAAAGGTGCTCAGGGAACACTCAGCACTCAGGTCTCCTCCCCTGCCTACTGCACTTACAGGAGGCCGAAAGGGATTAAGTGTTGCCACCTTCTGGTATTCACAGTCTCTCTAAAACACACACTGGATTTAGCTCTGGTAAGATGTGCCTGGGTCCAGATACTCTCCCTCTGTCAGAGTTACTCAGATATGAACAGCACATGCAAAAAGCTTCCCAAGAAGCACCTGTCAGCACGAGCATCTTATTCTTCCCCTAGAGGGATGTCACTCCCAGGGTGAGTCCATCTCCCAGCTGGTATTTGGGAAGGCAAGCACTGGTGACAGCTCTGCCATGCACAGCCATCCCCTCCTGCTCACTCCAGGCTACATCCCTGAGATACTCTCAGCAACCCTCTCTTTGCCCCATGCCAGGACAGACCTTCAAGGCTGGCAACTATCCTCTTTAAATAATTTGGAGGGATTGATATTAATTATGCTACACCTAAATCACAGAATCATAGACTCACAGACTGGTTTGGTTGGAAGGGACTTTAAAGATCACCCAGTCCCAACCCCCTGCATGGGCAGGGACACCTCCCACCAGCCCAGGCTGCTCCAAGCCCCATCCAACCTGCCCTTCAACACTGCCAGGGATGGGGCAGCCACAGCTTCCCTGGGCAACCTGGGCCAGGCTCTCACCACCCTCACAGTGAAGAACACAAACTCACTCAACTTTTTCTGTGATAATAGAGCCCACAGGGTAGAAGGTATGTGGGGATGGGATGAGCTTTCAAATAGAAACACAGAGCAGTGCTTGCAGGAGTGGGGCACCTCTCATTCATGCTGCTATTTCTTCATCCCAGGAGTTTTTTAGTCAGAAAATGTCCTGAACACCCACAGGATCACTTCCATCCTGAAGCTGGGAAGTGTGCCACTGCAGCTGGATCTTCAGCATTCTCTTAATATAAGAGCAGACAATTTCATATCACTTTTCATCTGCCTCATACACCATTTCCTCCTTCTGTGCCTGACAAATCTGTGGGCAGTTTTAGTTTGAGTAATACTCCAGGCACTTTCAGTATCTCCTCCCTGCCACTGCCTGTGTCCTTCTGCTTCTTACCTGCATCATGCTGGGACAATGATTTGAGACAGGACCTAAGCCAGGGGCTGCTCAAGCCCTGGATGAGCACACAGGTATTTCTCTCTCAGCTGTAACATCACAAGCAGACCATCAAACAGCTCATTTTTCACTCCAACACATGCGTGGACAGATTTGCAAACTCAGGAAAATTAAATATTCTCCAAGTGCAGTAACATGCATGAAATCAGGATGAAAACTGTCATGCTGGAATATCCAAGCCATTAATATAAAGCCCTCATTTGAAACAGAGAAGTGTTCTTACTTGGTATTCACTACTGGAGAAGCTCTGCTTACACCTCTGACACACGGTCACGTTATTAACACATCCATTTTCCAAATGATCTGCAAGTTTCTTCCTCATCACCACGTGTCCACAACCAGTGTGACAAGGGATTAAAGCATATTCACACAAACTCTGATGCTCCTGGAAGTAAAAAGTTAGAAACCAAAACGTAAACTGCAGACAGACATTGTTCTATAAACACTTTCAATTCTGCCAGCCCAGAGCTTTGCTTTGCATTTCTTCTAAGCTTGGGTGAAGTCCCACTCCACGATGTTGCTGAGATGACTTGGTGAAAAATTCACCCACTTCATTTGGGCTTTTTTGTTAATTCTTAACTTAAGACCAAAAACTCCCAGCCAACACCTTTTGACAAACTGAAACACAAGGTCTCCCTTGAACTGTCTCGCTCTAGTGCTTCTGTTTGAAAAGAACATGACCCTGGTCCCAGCTTTTTTCCTACTCTGAGAGGATCCCAAACTTTTAGCCTGAGGTTTTTCAGGGTGGTTTTTTGGTTTTAGTTTTCTGTGAGGTTTGAGGGTTGTTGTTTTTTGGGGGGCTGGTAGGATGAATGTGGTTAGTCTGCTGACATCTCTGCATGGTATAAAAGAGGGGACATCTGGCACCTCCTATGCAACAATCAGGAGACAACCTTTCCCCACAGTAAAAAGAACTTCAAACTAATTAAATTTTCACTCTTTGGATCCTCTCATCTCAAGAAGGAAAAATATCAGCATTACTTCCTTCATAACTACACCCAACAGATCTACTTTCAGATGCTTAAAAACACAGTATTTCAGTAACAACTGTTTTCTCTGCCCTTTCACTGCAACTTCTGTGGGCTTCTGTGTCACAACTGATTTTGCCTGTAAAGTGAGATGCTTGTCCCCTCCAGAACAGGCTCAGAAATGCCAATTCCAATCACACGCCCAACTCTCAAATCACTGTTGCCATGTGCTCATGCTGAGAGGGGCTCCAGTTCTCACCACTGTGAAGCTGAGCAACGTGGGGAGATTCTTTCTTACAGAGGAAGATGCTCAAATGGAAAATCTGTGCAAAATTAGCAAAAAAAAATCAAAGGCAACAGCACTTCAGCTGCTTAGCAGATACAGTCAGACAAGGTACACAGCAGACTCCCTGTTACAAATGCAGAAAGACCATCTGTTCTTGCACCAGGGGACCAAAATAGAGCTGCTTTAGTACCAGAATTATCTATGTTTTTTCATTATTCTAATTTGCATGGCAGAGTCACAAATCTTACCCATTTAAATATGTTACCTGGGGCATTTCACATCAGTCTGTAAAGAATGACAAACTCATCCAATCAATAGCAGTAATTTATGCAGGGGAAATTATTTCTCTTATAAAAAATACTAAGGATATTGTCCCTAGCAATGTCCTGGAGACTGACACATTCTGGTCTGTTGAACACTGCTAGTAGCATCCTTGCATTTAAGTAATAAGTCAACTCACTGGGAAAAAGAAATATATTTGATGTAAATTTGTGCAACATTAATCTCACAATCATTCTGGATGCTCTGGATTTGGTGAAAGCCCTACTAAAGTTAATGACACGTTTATAGATACTCCATTAATATAAATCATGATACTTTCACTGACTCTAACGAAGCTGCATTAATTTGTGTTTGCTGAGAACCCAGTCTCACTGTCTTCCTGTCCCCACTCAAGTGAGAGTGCCTGTTAATTGAAATAAAATGCCTTTAAACGTACTTCATAATTTTTCATGATACCAGCCCAGCTGCATCCAAGGGTCACACAGTGGACTTTGAGCTCAGAAATCTCTTTATTAATGGCAGCATCACCAAAAGCCTGGAAAACAAACACAGTAAGGAAAAGATGACTGGTCAGAAAGTACTCCAGCATGCATTGTGTACACAGGAATAAAGTGACTGTGTCAGAATTTCAGATCTTGATATATCCCCTTTTTTCTTTTGGTTTAATTTGCTGATCTGCCTTAAGACTCTCTAACCTAGTAAATTAATCCTGGTGTAGTAGAAGCCCATATAATGAAGAAATAATTTATTTCTTATGGTTCAAAAATAAACTATTTGATGTGATACAAATTTACTGAAAACATGCCTAGCCAACTTCAGCAATTATTTAAAGTTTCTGTCCACAGAAGCCTGAAATCCATCACATGCAATGAATGTGCTGACAAGGCCCTGACTAGAGGGTGCTGCCATGTGCCACCCTTAATGAATGCATTTCATTATCGAGGTCATTAACACCTCCTGAACATGCTGCAGAGAGGCCTGGAGACTGTTCTGCAATGAGAGTGCACTTCTCAGACCATGGATGTTTCCATTTAGCATGGCACTGTGTACTAGAGAAATGGAAAACATATGTGAGTGGTTTGGGATTTTTTGCACTATGTAGATTGTGTTGTTATGTCAACCATGAAGAATTGTACTGGGATTATGTAAACTATAAAATGCTACACACTTCAATACTACATCTTTCACCACCAAAATAGGTACACAGACCCAGGAACAAGCCCTACTGAAGATAAGGTCATATTTTACCCTCTGTGTTTTTCAGCACACAATACAGAGCACTGCAGATTTCCCATGTAACAACAAGGCAAGAACTGGCAGGGGGAAGCTTTCCAAACAGAGCAGGGAAAATATTGACAAATGATGCCCACTTTTCAGTGAAGTTACTGAAATTCTACACAAAGAGCTAAAAAAATAAGCAAACAAAATGATCAGACTCAACAGTCCTGACTGTCTGTTGTTGTTTTTTTAAATCTGGATGCAAGATGTTTGTGCTGACCTACCTTGGTCATACAAAAAGACACAAAAGAAGCACAAACTAGGACAGGAGTGGTGACAAGGAGACACATTTCTATATCCAGGGTCTGACAGAAACCCCTTCCCTAATCCCAACCTCCAAGCAAAGTCCAGAATTTTGCATACAAATTGGAAACAACTCCACAAATAAGGAATTAAAAAATAACCATGTAGGTTGTATAAAACCACATATGGCTCCACCTGCATATATAGAAAAGCTGCTGTAATGAGCTAGCAATCAGTGTACAACCAGTGAAGCACAGCAGCCCCAGCCTCTAAAGCATTCTAGTCTAATTTATAAGCAAAATCAAAGAAAAGAAATTCAAGTTACCAGGCACATGGTGGCTTTTCCCCCCGTGTCATAAGAGAAAAACTCCAGGAATTTCCTGACATTACAAAATACACACTCTAAAATACATTTAGCTACAGGGACAGCCCCAGCACTGTGTGGGTTTCTTACTGCTGTGTGTATTCCCTGTGCTTTTTGTTTCACATGTGTAATTGCTAAGTCATTATGGACACTACTCAGGTGAAAAATCCTTCCATCCACACAGGCCACTGCTTCAAAATATTCACCTGAACCTCTGGCCTGTTCTCTGGGAACCTGCATTTGCACAGAACTTCTTTAGGGACCTGAGTCAGACCCTCATGCAGCAAATGAGATGTCTCTCACTGACAGAAAACTGCTCTGGGTCACATGGAAGGAAACAATATCTTTCTTCCTGATGTGATGCATTGGAGTTGCACATCTCCCTTCTTTCAGTTTCTCTGTTTAGAAGGAAGGTGCTGGTGCTGCTGGTCTTGATCACAGGTGGCTGTTGTGGCACCCAGACCTGTCAGTCCTGCCTGCCCCAGAGCTGGCTGTGACATGAGTAGAGGTCCCCTGCCCTGTCCCATCCAGGAACCACTGCCAGCTACTCTCCTCCTCAGCACCCTGGTAAGGCCTTTCTCTCCTTGTATAGGTGTTTATTTAAAATATAAACATATAAACAGATAGCATAGGAAATAAACATTAAGCAGAGCCACAGCAAAGGTAAAGCAAAGATTATCTGGAATAGATATCACAAATAATCCTGCTTAATTATCTCCACTATTTGTATTGCTTACAAACCCCAAGCATTTGTTGTAAGTTGATCTATACAGGCAGATCCTTCATGGTGACTGACTTCATCTGGACTCTCAACAGGCATAAGAATCTGCCCAGGCAGATCAGCTTGCAAGAGTGGGGCCCTGTTTACAACAACCCACCCACAGATTTTGCAGAAATTCCCTTAGTTTCACTAAGGAAGACTTGGTGAGAATCTAACAGCAGAGAAATCCCAAAGTTGTAAGAGAACTGACAGTCAACAGAGATTAAGTCCACAAGGGTTTAGTTGCACCTATTTGTGGCTACATGATGCATGAAATTCTGTCACTGGAAAATGTGTTGCAGAATTGGGGATATTTTCTGAGGTTCTACCAAGTTCAGCATTTATTGCAGCTTCATTTTTTTGCTGCATCTGCTTCCTACACTTTGCCTTTTTCTTCACTGCCAACTGGGTTTTGTTTTTCCCTAACAAATTTAGAATTTGTCAGGGAAAAACAAAGACAGACACACAGAATGTGTCTCTCTTGGTATTCCTGCATGCAGTCAGAAAGGAGGGAAAAAGACAAGCTGGGATTGAGCCCTATGGCCCAGTTTGCACTCAGGATATAGAACAGTGCAGCAGTCTGCTGGAAAACCACAGCACAGCAGAAGAGATCTGCACCATTCAATTACACATCAACTATTTGCCAGAGCAAAGCTTTGATCAGTTATTATGTTCAGCTCTGTATTTTCCACTATTTTCTCCAGACACCCTGGCTGTCAAACTGCTTCCTAGGCAATTCAGCTGGCTAGCCAACACTCCAGCCTTTTTTTCCAAGGGCTGCTCCACCTGTAGGTTTGGTAACGTGCTTGAAGGGCACAGAGAACCATGAGATGGGAAAATCCAGTAGGATACTCACTAGGGATAGAAAGTAACAGCTAAAACATTGTAAGTAGGAAAGCATCTGTTACTGTGACACAATAAAAAGATAATTATATCAAAGTGTATGGGATTTGATGTTGCAGAACCTGATGGACTTGGGAAGTCCTAAGGCTGCCATTATACTTTTTTTAAACCAAAAACTGTGGGAAATCCAAATGGCTACAGTGTAAGTTAAAAGGTGTAACCATCAGTTGCTATCAAAGTTTGTCCTATTCCCTCCTGAACTGTCATCCAGTGATGACTATAGAGTAGCCCAGGTAGTGGTTAATGATAAATTAATGAACTGTGAACTCCAGCTTACCCTTTCTTCTGCCAGCAGGCTTCCCTCACTTGAAGTGCTGGGATCTTCCTCCTTACATTTCTGGCAAATGGCATTTTTATTGTTCCTGGCCAAAAGAAAGCAGAATGAAATGACAATCAGTTGGTGTGCTGTAGTTTAGGAGATTTTTGTATAGACACTGACACAAACAAAACCACAGAAATTGTTATTTCCACTCAGAATCCATAGTTCTTGCACATTAAAGGGTTAATTCTTGAAAGCACTGACATCAAAAACCCCATCAGTTCTATTCCTCCAGACTAGGGCTAGGCCCATAAATCTTAGCTGAGTTCCAGAAAAATAAGAGCAGCCTAAATCATAAAAAAGAATAAAGATGGGAGCCTATTTATCCCATGAATTATGCAAAAACAGCGTGTAAGAAAGGTAATGTGAAAACTGAAGTATTTCAAAGCCCAAAAAATGCCTGTTTTCCTAGGACAGATACACAGACTTCAACTTACAAATATATAGTAGAACCAATGCAGAACTGAGTTCTAGAGAGTTACCATCCTGCTGCAGCTAAAAAGGTTTTGCTACACTGTCAACATACTTAGCACAGAGTTTCACACAGGAAAAGCAAAAAGATACTATTATTATTATTAATATTATTAAAGGTGTGTTTCCTTGCCAGCCCTCTTCATCACCCAGGCAAATGATGAACTGACGCAGCCCGAGCAGCTGATCAGAACATTCACCCAACCAGAGCAGCACTGATTCCAAACTGTGCTCAGCAGCTGTGTGAGCCAGTTTCCCATTTGTGCTATAAGACTCCAGTGGGAAGATACAATAATTCCAGTGATGTTATCCTGATGATTTTCTGAATGTATTGTTTATGTTGCTTCATGAAGGGCCTTTGTTCTAGATTCACAGTAATGGGCTTACACAAGTTATACTACACTGCATATAGGATATACAAGATACATTATATATCAGAAATACATTAATTCCAACACACTTCTACATTATTATACGTTGATCTTCAGATCACAAGTGGCCAGTGCATTGAGCCAGCTTTTCAGGTGCCCCAGATTGGGATCAGAGCTGGGGCTGCAGGAACTGCCCCACACAAACTAACTCACTGATTCCAGCCCTGAGGACCCTTCGGAGCAAGGACCTACCGCAGGATCCAGGAGAGGCAGGCTGAGCAGTACCTGTGCCCACACAGGGTCTGCAGGGCTTTCTTCAGAACGTTGTTGCAGTTGCTGCACAGGTACTTCTGATCAGGCACATCTTCACAGATGTTGCTGGGGTATCCAAACGGAAATTCATCTTCATCAGGAGAAGAGCTGGGGATGTCCTGTGGGCCTCCAGTTGCTTTCTCAGCCATCTGAAGTCAACTCTGTCAGAGATAAGGAAAAAGAGAGGAGCTCAAACAAGCAGACACATGCTCACTTTGATGTGAGATCAGGCAGCAAAGTTCACGAGCAGCTCCAAACCTGTGCAGCAATGTAGTCATCTGTTTAACCCAGCCTGTAGCACACGTGTGAGACTAAATGTCACAGTGGGGTTTGACCAGGTACCAGCAGGAAATTACTGTACACATTTAAAATTTCCCTCAAACACAACATGAAAATGGACAACACACTAAAATCAAGGCTTGGGGTTTTCTTTCCAGAGTTTTTTTAGCTTGTAGAAAGATGAAGTAAACATTGCCATCATCTTACAGTTACAAGCCCATCAGGGCCCATCACACAGAATTGTTTCCTGTGAAGTAAATCCCCAACCACCCTCAATTCCCAGCAGCCAAAATTTGTGATTGCACTTCATAGATGTAGAAACTGAGCAAGTCATCTGAGTTTCCTGAAGTCATGAAATTAGTGGTGAAAGGAAGACAGAGCAAGCCTACAGAAGCTCCAGTGCTCTGCCAACCCTGTGCCAGCCATGCCAGGGTGTGAGGCACAGTCAGCACAGGTTTGCTTGACAAGAGCTGTGCAGCTGAGTATTTTTGGAAACACAACCAAAACCGGGTCTGGTGTCCTCGGAGTCATTGGGAAAGCTCAGGAAATGGATCTGGATCAATTCGGATCTGGAGCAATTTGATCATAATAATGCCTTTATCATTTCTTTATTTCCCCACAGCAGGGCTGACTCACTAACCCACCCCAGCATCATCAACAGTGACACTGACAAGTCTCTGGGAACACCGAGGCCGTTCCGGGCCGGGCAGAGGGCAGGGCATCCCGCACCGACCCCGAGGGCAGGGCATCCCGCACCGACCCGCAGGGCAGGGCATCCCGCACCGACCCCGAGGGCAGGACATCCCGCACCGACCCTGCAGGACATCCCGCACCGACCCCGCAGGGCAGGACAGCCCGCAC